AGCACAGAGCCTCGAACCTCGCCCCCCCTTCCCGCTCGCCGGGACCAGTGCTGGGCCGCCTCAGATCCCCAGCCGACCACGAGCCCCAGAGACCTCAAGATGGCCCCGATGTTGCACAACATGGCTTGGATGGTGCTGCAGATGCCCCAGGATATCCCGGGAGTCCCCAAGATGGCCCTGGAGGGTGTTCCATGACAGCCACCAAGTTGTCTCGTCTTCTCGCCAACGAAATGCAGGTTCACAATCGGTGCCGATCCTCTCAACTTTCGTCAGAGAGCTGCACGCGGAGGCCTGGAGCACAGAGTGGAACGCTGCGAATCAGCTCCGAAGCTTATCAAAACCACGAGGGAAGGGAGAAAGGGGAAGAAACCATTATAGCCACAAGATGGCTTAGCCTGGGCGCAGGCGGCAGAGGACGCAGCCCTCCAGCTACAGAGGACAATGATGAGCACATCAGGACAACAGCGACTCGGAGAACACGAGGAGAGGACGGGAGATGAGAGAGAAGGAGGGCGGTGAGAAGGAGAGAACGGAGGGAAGGAGAGGAAACCGTTTCTCCTCCTCCTGCTCCTCCTTCTCATCCGCCTCATCCTCCTGCGCATCATCCTTCTCTTCCTCATTATCCTCCTCCTCCTCCTCCTCCTCCTCCTCCCCCTCCTCCTCCTCCTCCTCATCATGATCATGATCATGATCATCATCGTCATCGTCATCACCATGGCTTTCATCATCGTCATCATCGTGCTCGTCATCATCCTCATCATAATCGTCATCACCAGCATCATCATCATCAACATCATTACCATCCTCATCCTCTTCCCTTCCCTCCACACCCTGCTCCGCATTTTCCTCCGCCGTTCCCTTCCGCCTCCTCCTCCCTTAGCTCACTCCCGTAATCAACGCCCTTCTCCTCCTCCTCCTTCCCCTCCACCTCCTCCTCCTCCTCCTCCTCTTCCTCCTCCTCCCCCTCCTCCTCCTTCTCCTCCTCCTCCATGTTGGTTCTTCAAAAATAGCCCCGAAGCAAGATTTTAGGGCGGGCCGGACGTTTCGCCTGAGACATCCCCATCATTTGTGAGTCTGAATGTTGGCAACCGTTTCACATATGGAGGGCGGGTGGTTTCCAAAGTGTGGCTCTCGCCTTAGCTAGCGCCGCGCGCAGTCGTTATAAACATGTACAAGAGTTTCAAGGACTCAGGGCGGGTGGTTCTCAAAATGTGGCTCTCGCCTGTGCGCCGCGTGCGTTCGCGTTCAAACAATTGCAAGAGTTTCGCGGACTGAGGGCGGTTCCTTCTCCACGTGTGGCTCTCGCTTTAGCGCAGCGCGCATTCGTTTTCAATATCTACAAGAGTTTCGCTGGTCCCATGATCCACGTGCCGGAAATGGGGTAGTTGAAGGATTGAGGATTATGAGGGCGCAACAATTACGGTGGTTCGCGGCGTTGAAGTCCCAAGAATGGCGTTCTGGCACGATTGAGGATCGTCAAGACGTAACAGTAAGGTTGATCCGTGGCGCTGCAATCCCGAGAATAATGTTTTGGCATGCTTCAGAAACTTCCAACGGTTGCCTTTCAACGAGGCCGTCCATCAGTGGAAAAGAACCTGTGTAGGGGCCTGTGAAGAGTGAGCTTGGAGGGAGGGTTTCTTCCAACATCGTTGATGACTCGTGGGTTTACACTCGTCCTCCTCCTCCTCCTCCTCCTCCTCCTCCTCCTCGTCCTCCTCCTCCCCCCCCTCCTCCTCCTCCTCCTCCTCCTCCTCCTCCTCCTCCTCCTCCTCCTCCTCCTCCTCCTCCTCCTCCTCCTCCCCCTCCTCGTCCTCCTCCTCCTCCTCCTCCTCCTCCTCCTCCTCCTGAACATCCTCCTGGGCCCCCGCTGGCGGGCCCGTCGTCTGCGCCCTCCGGCATCGGCGGCCCTTTTCTGCGGCGCCGCACCGGAACAGACAAAACTCAGCAGACGAAACGCGCTGGGCCCCCCGCAGGTGCCGAGGGGGAACGACGTGGGGGACTGCCGAAAGCTGGGCGAGGGCTGCTAAAACCGTGGCTGCTAAAGCGGCCCTCCCGGAAGGAAAACACAGCTTCCCAGAATGAGGCGCGGCACGCGAAACAGTCAACGGGCTTCTTCCCGGAAGGACGAAAACAACTTCCCGGAGGTCGATGTTAGCAGCCACGGATTTAGCAGCTTTTGCCCGGCTTCCGGGACTGGCTCAGGGGTGGGGCATCGACCTGGAATCGGCGATGCATCGCCGATATATCCGCGATGAGACGCCGACAGCAAGGGCCGCACTTCCTGTGCGGGATGGGCTATCGAGCCCCACATCGGCGAGCGACTCACAATCGATGCGTCCCCCACTGCGCCAAGCCCCCCTAGGTTGCTCCCGAGACCAGCTGCACGCAGGGGGGACCACTTTTGCAGTCAAGGGCGGCCCTGTTGTGCGCGGCTTCGAGGGACCGCGGGGGGACCAAACTCGGGCGCGCAAGCCAACGCTGCGGGGGAGACGAACAAGTACCGATACTGCTACTTCCTGGGCCTCTCCCGTGATGCGTTCTGACCAACAGTTCGAAGAGAACCTGGCCGTGGCGACGAGAGCTCTCCAGAACGAGCAGCGGTATTGGTACCGGGTCCTCTCTGAGCTACCGGGGGGCACCCGTGTGACCCCGCAACACCAATGGGATCAAAGGCCATAGCAATGTCACGCCGGCCGGACAGCCCCTTCCTGCTGAGCAGGTACTGTGTGTAGGCCACCAGGGGGCCAGAAGGGGGGATGAGGCCAAGTCCGCCCAACATCGGTCCCCGGACCCCTCCCTGGGATCCGCCTAATGCAATTTCTCGCCCCGCGGATCCGTTGCTGAGAGTCCTGGGGCCCGAAAACGGCCCGCGACGAGGCCCTCCCTTTCACCCAGAACCTCGAACCTGCCCGCCCTTCCTCTCGGGGGCAAACTTCCATTGATCGCCGATAGGGGGCCGACAGCCCCAACCTGCACAGGAAGGTGCGGATTCACAATCGGGGGCATATCGCCGATCTATCGGCGATGTATCCCCGATTCCAGGTCGATACATCCCCGCATATGCCAGTTCCCCCCTATAGTTGCCCCTCATCCTCCTGGCCGGAACCAGTGCTGGGCCACCTCAGACCCCCAGCCAGCTCCAAGGCACCGTGTCGCTGAACAGGAAGTTTGGACGACGTGCGTGCTGCGGATACTCCACACACATGAGCATATTTTCACCGATGCCTATCCCCACCGGCGTAGCCTGGGCCCACTGGCGCCAACTTACCCCCCAAGATGGGGATACAGGCTGTTCCGTTCGGGAGTCGCGAGGCAGATCCCAACCCCAAACCCCCGACGCCATGTTTTTGACATAACGTCGACCTCCAGAAATTTCGACCAATTGCCCGGGACCGGCTTTTTATCCTGAATCGTTCTCTGACGGCCCCGAGGCCCAGTAAGGGCCCCCCGAGGCCGACAATAGCGAGCAGCCCTCCGTCGCGACGCTTCGTGACCCGAGGGGGTCGGGGACTGGGGTGGTGGGATGGTGGGGATCGGGATTATGAGGGATGGGGGTACGGCAGGTTCGTGTCGTGCCGACCCCAGCGTTGATTTTTGACACCGCAGGGATCGTTCAACCTTGAACGATCGGCCGCTGCCGCAACGTCCGATCGTTCAACATCGATCGATTCTGGGTCGCCGGCGGCGTTCAACCTTGAACGTCCGCGCTGGGGTCGCCGCTGGTCGACACGACGCAAACCTACCGTAGCAATCGGTGCAACGGTACAGTACTCCACACGTCCGACGCCCAGGCCTCTCCTCCCAAACGGGGCCCCTTGGGAGCCCGAGGGCCTCCGCGGGGCCTGCTCCTCTGCAGGGCCAGGATCCTCCTCCCGAGCCGCTCTTGACGGCCCTGGGCCCCTGGGGCGTCGCTGAGATGGGGGGGACACCAGGAGGAGGACGGGGGAGGAGGAGGAGGAGGAGGAGGAGGAGGAGGAGGAGGAGGAGGAGGAGGAGGAGGAGGAGGAGGAGGAGGAGGAGGAGGAAGATGAGCAGGAGGAGGAGGAGGAGGAGCAGGAGGAGGAGGAGGAGGAGGAGGAGGAGGAGGAGGAGGAGCAGGAGGAGGAGGAGGAGGAGGAGCATGAGGAGGAACAAGAGGAGGTGGGGGGGCAGGAGATAAGGTGCATTTCTCGGGCGGTGGGGCCATAAGGGGCCTCTCTGCAGCCCTCGCTGCCCCCCAAGCACGGCGGTGGCATTGGAGAAGGAAGCATTGGACAAGGAATCCAGGGCCTGGAAGCCCGTGGAACTCCAATCGCGGACTGGCAGTGGATATCACCGCACCCATCATCAGGTAAGGACCCCTCCAGGGTCTGAAGCCCCCCGGACACATGTCTGAACCAACGCCCAGACCGTATCGCCCACCCACTACGCGACGCCCAAGCCCCGCGAGGGCCCCCCCCAGAGTCCGGCAGCGGGCAAAACTATGTTTCGCGTCGCGCGCATTTCCCCAGACCCCCTCGGGTCATGAAGAACTCGTTGAAGGAAGTCTTTTTCTGTACTCTCAGTCGGGGATCTTCTGACCCGGGTCAATCCAGACCCAGGTAAGTCAGGCCTTGCCGAATCCTGCAAGATCCTGAAGACCCTGCACCCAAACCCGGGTCAGGATCCTGCAGGATCCTGCACCCAAACCCGGGTCAGTGCGGCCCTGGCCATTCAGGATCCTGCAAGAACGGGCGCTCTGGCTGACCCCCGTTTGCATTGACCCCCGTCTCTTGAGCCCCGACTCAGCCTCTGGGGGTCCTTTCGGGGCCTCGGGACCGTCACAAAACGACTCAGAATGGAAAGCTGGCTCCCGGAGGAATGGGTCGAGGCTTCTGGGGATCGACGTCATGAAAAAATGATGACGCACGGGGTATGGGTCTGGGCCTCATGACCCCTCCCGGCCACAGGCCCCTCCAGGCGAAAGGGCCGCCCCCGACGTGCAGCTGGTGGCATCACGCAGCACCGGCGGCCAACGGCGCTCAGCGCCCCCCCCCGGTCTGCTCCATGGCCACGTCGATCAGGTCCTCGTCCTTGAGGACTCCCGGATGGGGTCCGAGTAGATGGGATCGGAAGATCGCGCCGCATCGCCGATGCGTTGACGATGCATCGGCGATGCGGAGCGATCCGTCGACCCCATCTGCTCGGACCCCATCTGGGAGGCCTAGAGCCTAGAGTTTGAGGCTTGCCTCCACCAAGGGAAGATGCTCCTGGATGTTGGTGCTGGTGGTAACATTCTGGCCACGGGAGCCCGAATACTCGATGAAGACACTCCACCAGGATTGGCGTTGGTGTCAACCTTTTGGCCTCCGAAACGGCGTGGGGCGTCCGTTGAGGAATGTGCCCAGGAGGCTGCAGACCCTGGAGGGTTCCTCATCTGATGAGGGCCGCGGTGATATCCATGGCCGATCCACGATGGGAGTTCCACCGGCTTCCACCCCCTGGATTCCTGATCTGAGGTTCCTTATCCGACGCCCCCACCCTCATAAGAATCACCCCGAGAAGCGAAGCCCTTGTAGTACGCACCCAAAGAAAGAATCGAACAGGGCAGGGCTGTTTAATCAACGCCCAGGGCCGTTCAATAAACGTCAACTGTCGGGTCCGAGTGCCGCTTTCCTCCCGTGGGCACCCAGAAATGCGACGTCCTGATGTTTTCAGTGCGCGGCCCCTGGAAGTCCCGAGCCTTTCACGGAGAGAGCGGTTTTTCGTCCCGAGTCGCTTTCTGACGGCCCCGAGGCCCCCAGCGAGGGCCCCCCGAGGCCGAGGATGCCCAAAAACCTCCCGTCCTGCTTTTCTTTTATTACCAGCCTGGAACATATCCCTATCCCTGTGCTGGGCACCTCCTCATCACGATGCCAATCTTAGGGATTTCCTTGTGTTTTGAGGGCGAATCCCTAAGAGTGTCATCGCCTTTTGGCGTGTCAATCTTAGGGATAGGGATACGTTCGAGGCTGGTAATTTAAAGCGACGCGGGGCAAGTCTGGGCAGATCTCCTCCAGCCCCAGCTTCTCCGCGGTGTCGTCCGGGGCGATGCGCTCGCCGTCCACCATGAAGCGGACCTGCGACGCCTGGGCGGGGGCAGGCCTCTCCGCCGGGCGAGCCCGGGACAAGCTTCGGGGGACCCCACAAAGGGGGTCCAGCTGAAAGGCAACTGCATTACAAGAGTATTGCGCCGGAGAGCTGCAGCGCATAGTATTGCGAGTCGTACAAGGGGGCGGTGCCATAGCATTGCGAGTCGTACAAGGGGGTCCAGCGACAAGGGGGCGGTGCCACAGATTCGGGGCCACTGTACAGTCAAAGCGTATATTAAGGACGGGTGGCAAGGACGCAAGACCCTTGGAGGCCGAAGTTGGATTTTTGGGGCGGGGGGCGGCCAGTGAAAACAGCGAAGGACGGGCCGCAGAGGCAAGGACTCAAGGGTACCCTAGATGAAGGCACGCGTCCTTACTAGGCGCGTTGACCGTATTACAAGAGTATTGCGCCGGAGAACTGTAGCGCATCGTATTGCGAGTCGTGTGGTGCACGCGATGATCCAGCAGTGCCTCTGCGCCCTGGAATGTACTGCACGCCCCCAAGTGTACTACAAGAGTATTACAAGAGTATTGCAAGTCGTGCGTTGCACGCGATAATCCAGCAGTGCCTCTGCGCCCTGGAATGTACTGCACGCCCCAAGTGTATGGCGGCCCCACAGATCTATGGCACCGGATCTATGGCACCGCCCCCTTGTCGCTAGCAAAATCCCCACGAACCTGGCACGGCACGTGCAGTGCCAGGGGCGGCGGCCCGTCTTCCCATCTTACCATCACAGGGGGATGCGAAGTCCCTGAAGACGGGACGGGGTGGGCACGAGTGGGCATTATAGCCGGCTCAAACATTAAAAACGGCATCATAGCCTCATCAGTCTAGATTGATCCACTCACGGATCCACTGCAATTTGATTTCCATTGAATTCATTCCATGCGTACCATGCTCTCCCCTTTTGTGGGGCAGTGCAAAGGGGGGTCACCACTAGGGGGGTCGCCACTTCCTCGAGGAAACGCCACTTCCTCGAGACTTCCTCGAGGAACTGGGCCCCCCAGAGCCCCGAAAACGCAAAGAAACGTCCAAGAACATCCTCGACCCCTCGACTCTCCATCCTGGAACCTCGATTTCCAGGAGAAGCTGGTGACCCCCCCAGTGGTGACCCCCCTTGGCACTGCCTGATTTTGGGGTCCACCCGGCAAGCGCTGCCTACACACAGGGACGCTGCCGGGGCCGTGCCCCGCGGCCGAGGGCGCGCTGCCTCTGGGGGAGCTCTGCCTCTCCAGGCGCTGCCTGCCCCGCGAGCGCCCGAGGCCCTGCCTGGGATCGCTGCCCACGCGCCCTGCCCACGCGCCCAGGCGGGCGAGATCACCCAGGAGGAGGAGGAGGAGGAGGAGGAGGAGGAGGAGGAGGAGGAGGAGGAGGAGGAGGAGGAGGAGGAGGAGGAGGAGGAGGGAGGGAAGGGGGGGAGGGAGGAGGGGAGAGGACGGGGAGGGGAGGGGAGGAGAGGGGACGATGAGGAGGAGGAGGAGGAGG